GCTTTATATTAAAATTTGTTATTTTATTAATAAATATTTTTTATTTTTATACTAAAATAAAAAATATTTATTAATAACAAATTTTAATATAAAGCAATAATGTTAATTTTATTATATTTTACTATTTTTTTTTCAATTTCTAATAATATAGTGTAGGGATGTATATTTTAATTATAAAAAATAATTAATTTTATATACAATTAGAATAGCTTTATCAGATTAAATCTAAAAAATTTGAAAAAAATATATATTAAAATATGTGATATTATCTTTATTTTAATATACATTTCTATACTATATTATCAGAAATTGAAAAAAAAATATAGTAAAACATAGTAAAATTGATATTGTTTCTTTATATTAAAATAAAGATAATAACTTAAATTTTTCTAGTATTTTCTAGAATATTCTAAAAAAATATATATTAAAAATATAAATTATCATCTTTATTTTAATATAAAAATAAAAAATATTTATTAATAAAATAATAAATTTTAATATAAAAAACAATATTAATTTTACTATTTTTTTTCAATTTTCAGTAATATAGTGTAAGAATATGTATAACAATAAAAAATATTTATTAGTAAAATTAAAAACTTTTATATAAAGTAAAAAATCTATATTTTATTATATTTAATTAATAAAATTTGATGTTATTATATTATTTTTAATTATTATTATTAATTATAATTTATATTTTAATATATATTTTTCTGAATTTTTTATATTTAATTTGACAAAATTATTTTAATTATAAAATTATTATAAAACTTTTATAATTAAAACATAAAATTAATTATAAAAAATTTTTATAATAACTTTATACTTAAAATAACTTTATTAAATTAAATTAAAAAAATATATAATTAATAATATCAAAATTTATTAATTAAATATATTAAAATACAAATTTTTCTTTTTATATAATGATTTTAATTTTACTAATATATATATATTAAAATAAAGATAATATTATATATTTAACATATATTTTTTTCAAATTTTTTAAATTTAATCTAATAAAGCTATTCTAATTGCATATAAAGTCAATTATTTTTTATCAAATTAAATCTAAAAAATCTGAAAAAATATATGTTAAAATATGTAATATTATTTTTATTTTAATATAAAAATAAAAAATATTTATTAAAAAATTAAAAATTTTTATATAAAGAAAAAATCTGTATTTTACTATATTTATTAATAAATTTTGATATTATTATATTATTTCTGATTGTTATTATATATTAAAATATAAATTTTTTATTTTTATTTAATAAAAATAAAAAATTTTTATTAATAAAATTAAAAATTTTTATATAATTTATAATAAATTATTAAAAATTAAAAAAAGTATAATAAAATATAATAAAAATAAAATTTTATATATTATTTTGTTATTATATGTATTATTAACTAAATTATACTAAATATAATATTATTGGATTACTAAACTTAATAATTTTATAAGTTTAATATAATTTAGTTTAGTTACTAAATATAATAAAATAATAATACTAATTATATTATATATTTAAAAGAATTTATAATATATATTTATAAAAAATATATTTAGTAAATTTAGAAAAATTTTATTATATTTATATTATATTATAAAAATTATATAATTATTATTAAAAAATAATTAAATATAAATATAATTAATTTTATAATTATAGAAAAACAAGTTATAGTAATTAATTTAACTAATAATTTAATAAAAATTTTATTTGTAATAATTCAATTTAATCAAAAATATTATTATAAATCCAATTGAAAATATCTTTATATACTTTAATTACATTTAATTTACTTTTTGGAATTATTACGTGATAATTAAATTCATTTTTATTTTAATACAAAAATAAAAAATTAATTTTATTATATATAAAATCTTTTAATACTTTATAAAAATAGAATTTAGAAAAACTAAACCAGCAATATTGTTTTTTGTGATAAGCTCTATTAAATTACTAATCAGATTTTTTTAAAAAAAAATCTTGTACAAAAAGTTATATAAGTATTTAAAATTAGATATTTGAAACATTTTTTACTGTATAATCTAATTTGATTGGTTAATATTATTATAGAGCTAGTATAAATTATAATTTCATCAAATTTGATATATTTTACATGATTAACATTATAATTATACATTACATAACTTTTCCAACCAACACAAATATTACAATATTTTTACATAGAAAATTGAAACAAAATCACGTGATTGTTGATTTAAGATTTCTGACACCATATGCATTTTCGTTTGTTTTATAATTAGAAAGATGCACTTCTCTAACATTGAACCTGGCCTGGTTTAAAAGATAGTTTGGGGTCCCCTAAATCTCAACACCAAATATAGAGCGATGTAACCATGAGGTAACAAATATTCAAATAAAGGGAAAAGACAAGGAATGACAAAATTGTTACATACCCCTTTTACGAAAAATGATACATGTACATGTAAAATTCGATAATTGTATCCTATAATTATATTAGTTCAGGTAACGATGATATTCATGTAAGAAGGGATTACAAAAAATTAACTGAATATCGATCTCATTCCAGGCCACAAAATGAAAAATCACTAATGTCTTCATTCCAATACCCATAAAATTTTTACAAATGCGTCTGATAATCAAGATACAGATACAGATAAAGATAAACTTCCATAAACGCACTCTCTATAAGTGCACGCCTCTCTAAATGCACTCTTTGGCTCGGTCACAGATATAGGTCCTAGTATTTGAACCTATTCTCAAAATGCACACTCTATACATACACGCTTGTATCCGGTATTTACGTATTGTATATAGTAGGATTTTTGAAACTACTGATTTCGTGGCACTCACTAATTGAACGGTTTTACATTTTCAAGAACAATAAGGAAAATCGAAACAACATATAAATAACAACTTTTGCTGTATTTATGATCGATGACGTGAACTGATATTGTAATAGTTCGGGGTTTGCTCCATACTCGATCAACATTGGCGACAAATAAAGAACCAATAAATGGCAATTATCGTTATGGTAAATACCAGATACACAGCATATTTATATGAAATGACAAGACAATTGATTAAAAGCCCAATAAATTGATCTTGGTAATCAATCATCGGTGACCTACACCGAGTGGCAAAAAAAAAGGAACAATAAAGTTCCCTGAAAACAACAATAATATGATAAATAATCCGCGTTAATTACTCTTTTGGACAGTAAAATAATGATAGACTACATACACGACCTTTTAGATTTTGATTGATAATTCATTTGATAGTACGTATACATCTGTATATGCAACGTCATCACACGCACATATTACAACTGTTCATGTACATCGACTTAATAGAAAGTGGTATTTTGTGGCGTCTATCTCGATAAATAACTATAAATAATCGGTTATTTGGCTTGAATCTCCATTTCTCGTTTTTAAGTTATTGTGAATTTACTCAAAAAATTAATTCATTTGTTATTAAAAAAACAAGGAGAATTTACTATTCTAAGACTGCTCTTTTAACAATACAATATTGTACAAATTTTTGATATTTAACCAACAAAAAGCGCTTCCAATTATCAATAAAGATTTCATAATAAACTCAATTAATTCAAACAAAATCAATTAATTCAAATAAAATGGATACATTTTTTGCTTTTATCAACAACCGTCAAAAGTCTCAATCAAACGACGTCGAGACAAATGCCGATATAATAAAGTCTACGTTTTGTCGTCTTCCAGATTTTTCATATTCACCGCTTGTAACCCCAAAACGACGACATTCACAACCTTCGAGCTCTCACAATGATACAACAGATTCTTGTTCAATCAAATCGTCTTCATCCACTTCGTCTTCGTTATCGTCAAATACATCATTATCATCTTTTGATGATAACTCTATACCAGAAAATAAATATGTGAGTTTTCCATCATATGAAAATTTCGCAAGTGATTGTTGTTGGTATGACAATGAACAACGATTACTGATAAAACGAGAGACTGTGGTTAGCGAATTAGAAATGGAAAAATATGATGTGATGTTTGTGGGAGACGTTAGAACTTGAATACATTTCATGTTAAATTGTTAGCATTATTGTAATTTTAAATTGTATTTATTTTATTGTTAGATTTAATGAGTTCTTTTATTTTTTAAATTCTCCTCGTCTTTATGGTCATTTTTGTAAATATAATCAATTTTATAAAATAGAATCTTATTTAATTTATGATAAAAAAGCGTCATTTTCCTTTCAAATTTTTTGCTAATGTAACTTAAGAATGATGCATTTCTAAAGTACTGTCAATTGAATGTTTTTAAGAAAAAAATCTGACTGCATCAACCTTAGCGATTCAAATGGGACATGACCAACTCTAATTTTGTCTGATAATAGTTGCGTAATAAAATAATCAGCTTGCAGATGTTCTACAAGTTAATATGAAAAAATCATAAAGCTTAACCAGATATAACTTGATAAAATGAATAATAAATTTCCTTTTTTGACGAAAATCGTTTATCTTATTAAATATAAATATCGATGTAAACAGATTTGAAGCACGAAAAAAATAAGTAGAAGCATTTGAAGTAAAGGGAAAACCGCAGCCGTGGCCATAAAGGACAAAGAATAACAAAATTTGATATAGTGTAACAATTATCGATATTTATAAGGAATTCAGCTCGTATTCTCCTTTGGTTAATGTCAAGTTCACGCTCAAGATACGTACTTCACCTTTAATTTTACGACCGATCACATTCAAGATTTCAATATAGAATATCGATCTTCATAAGGAAGAACTGATTTTTTTTACATGCATCTGACATAACGATAAAGTTACCGCCTGAAAACATCCGGTTGTTAGGCTTGTACTAGTGATACAGACATACTATTTTATCCAATTTAGCCCTGGGCAAAATTTTGTCTGTAATTTAAGGGCGAAATGTTTAACCTTTTAAGGTTAGGTTTTGTTTACGCCTATTATATAATGGTACAACAGAGACCCCGTTCCGCTGCCGATCATCCGAGGTCTTTGATCGGCCGACCGACTACTCCCAAAAGAAAAATTAGTCGAATGAAACGTTTCATCCTTAAGTCCAAATTATGAGATATCCTAATTCGCCCGTCACACCTAATTATATCTTCCAAGAGCGATGAAGAGATTTGACTATAATATTAAAGAGATAGATTTAATAACAAGAAAAAATCACAATGCTATAAAACTTAAGCTATACAATGTGATTTTTGCCAGAAAAATGACCCTCAGACTATCTAATTGGCATATGATTTTTTCTAGAATTTGAAAAGAACTTGAACACATTATTTTCATTATTAAAAAGTACTGAACTATTTAAGTTTATTTAATTGAAAACAGTTTTAATATACATTATTCCGAAAAATATTTAAACAATCTCTGAATTTATTAATAAACTATCATAAAAATTAATTTTCTCTATATATTATTTTTATTAATAAATAAGAATAACAATTTATATTTAACATATATAATTTTTAAATTATAAGTAATTATAAAAAAATATATATTAAAATATAAATTATTGTTCTTATTTTAACATAAAAATAAAAATATAAAATATTAATAAAAATAAAAATAAAAATTTTAATTTTTATTATATTTTATTAATAAATTTATGAATTTTTTATTATATTTTATTAATAAATTTATGAATTGTTTGTGGATACTTTTTTCAGAATAATATATTACAAAAATAAATTTAATTGATAATTCGCAAATAAATAATATTAAATTTCTAAATTTTACATAGCAATTATAGAATAATATTGTTTTCAAAGTTTAAAATTAATTCATATAAATTAATTAGGACTCTGAAAAGCTCAGCTCATTAGCTTGTATATGACTCGTATATATATAATTTAATTAATAGAATTTAAATCCATATTAGTAAATTATATATAAAATTTAGGCTCAAGTGGCTCGAGACTTGGCTTATTAGGAGACTTAAAATTAATATTTAAGTAAAGAATTTTGTTACTTTAATTACATGATTTTTGTTAATAATTTATTTGTTGAAATTCTATCAGAATTTATTTATTTAATTAAATATATATAATATAAATATTAATTAATTAAAAATTAATTTAAATATAATTCTTGATTATAATTAAATAAATATCAAAAAAAATATTTTTATTAGTAATAATTATAAAAAAATATTTTATTAAAAATAATAAAATAATATTAATTTAAAATATTAAAATAATCTAGTATCAATAATAAGTTCTAGTTATATTTGTTAAATATTGACAAAGTTCTGGTATTTAAATTGATATTTATTATTAGTTATATTTTGTTATTTGCTTTTTTGTGTTAATTAATTACAATTTGATAACAAGAAAATTTTATCTTTATTATAAAAAAGATTTTTTAAATTTATAAAATTAATTAAAAATGAGCAAATATTCAAATTAAAATTGAATTTATAAAATTAAAAAATATAGCTATAAATAAATATATATATATAATAATCGAAAAATATATAACAGCATCAAAATTTATAATTTTTCTTTATATAAAAGATTCAATTTTACTAATCAATATTCTTTATTTTATATAAAAATAAAAATAATAATCTATATTTTAATATATACTTTTTCAAATTTTTTAGATTGAAAAATCTGAAAAAAATATATGTTAAAGTATGAATTATTGTTTTGTTTTGATATAAAAATAAAAATAAAAATATTGATAAAATTGAAAACTTTTATATAGAAAGAAAAACCCGCGTTTATTGGTAAATTTTGACGCTGTTGCATTTCTTTTGATTGTCACTGTATAATTCAATATAATAATTTAAAAGATACATAAACAAGCTCAAAAACAATGAAAAAAGTCTTACTAAAATTGATTTTTTATTTTTAGCATTCAATTTCCAGTTTGTCTTTTTATATTAAGAGCTTCATTTTTAAGATCTTAAAGAGGAAGGAAAAGATATTAGGAGCACTCTCATCTTTGCCACAAGCACCACAGATAGTTTAATTCTGAAAGAGTGATCATATAGACTCTAAACTTTTTTGAAAGAGTCTCCTCGATTAAATGGTTTAGATTTATGAGAAACAGTTAGTCCATTGTAAGAACCAAATGGGAAATGTCAACACTTGTTCGTTAGATCTTTACACATTTAAAACGCGATATTAGTCCATCACCCTCAATGACCTCATGTCTCAAATGGCTCAAACATCCAGTCGATAACGAAATTCCACACGGCGTGCCCAGGCACAAATGCGCCACCGCATCCGAAATCCCATGGATGATTCCACAAGAAAGTCGTTCTATGGCTGTCTAAACATTCGACATCCAAATTTACCGGCAAAAAGATGGGAAGACGAAATGCCAGCAGATTGATTAGTTTCCAAACAGAAAAGTTTGAAGAAACAAGTGTGTTTTGTGTCAAAGAGCCACATGAGCAGTTGGTGTGGTGGATTGATTAATAGGAAAAGCTTTTTGATTCAGATTATCTAATTTTATCTAATTATCTAATTGTAAATCAAACAAGTTTTTAAGATGGCTGCCTTTCACAATTTTGTATTTTAGCGTGCTAATTCAAAAAATTTCTGTTGCATTTTTTAAATATAAAATAGTTTCAAAATGCAAAAAATATCACAGTTCTTAAAGTGATTAATGATTCTTTAAATTATTTAAGTCCATCAGAATTCCAATTCAAAAACTTGTATCAAGTTAAATTATTGCCGTGTGTTTAATGTGATAGTTTGATGTTATCATGAGAATGAATTAAATAATTTGCATATTTTTACAATACAGACATGAAGAAAAAAGACGATAAAGAAAACTGATTGACTGATGATAACAAATTTAAATGCTTTGAATGTGCAGTTTATTGAAGTGATGATCTATTAATTTTCCACGCACACGTCTTTTTTTATTCTTAAAATATATGCCATTTTCTTAAATTGTATTCGAGATGGAATCATGAAATGATTTCGAACATGATATTTTGTCATTTGATTTTTTTTATAAATATAACAAGAATTTCGGAGAAAGAATCAAATAATAAATTCAAGCTCAAAAAACCAGTAATTAATTTTACTCAGATCAAGCTATAATCTTAAAAAAAAGTAGCTAATATTGTCTCTTAGAAACATATAAAACTTTCTGCCTTTTGTTAATATTTTTCACACTTGAAAATGAATAACTTATTTTCGAATATACCAATTTTCATGCGTCGTCGTAATTCATTGCCTGAAGGTTCAAAAGACAATCCTCTAAACCCCTTACTACAACAAAACACCCTCACATCAGACAAAAAAGGGCTATTGCAACGTATCCCCAGTTTCTCTTATTCTCCCGCCATTAAGCACCATAACTCGACACGTTCTATGAAAAAGACACTTCATCGAAAATCAAGCAAATCAACATTAAATTCTACTACAATTAACGCAAACTTTACGATCAGTTCCGGTAGAGAATCATCAAGAAATTCAGTAATTTCAACTCCTGACACACCAGATTCTTGCGGATCAGAAGGCTATGTTAGCTTTCCTAATTATGAATATTTTGATGCGAATTTATTTCTTGATGATGATCAAACCTATTTGTTGAACAAAAATTTCGGGGGAGTTGATATGGAGCGATACGACGAAATGTTTGTTGGCGACGCGAAAATAGAATACTAATAGATTTTCTCTCATAGATGAAAATGATTTTTACCCTTTTTTTTTTGGATAGATTCGTAAATATTCACTAATAATAAATCTACCAAATACGCTTCACCAAATCATTTTTATTGCTTTAGCATAAATCAAAGTACATATAGAAAATTACGTTCACACAAAGTGTAAAGATCAAAGCTAAGACATAAAAAATTCGTTATTCGAAATACTTTTTAATAAAACAAATACAAACTAAAATTATTTAGTTTTGCAATATTTACCATCCAAAAAAAAATAAATTTTTCACATCTGTTACGTATTTGGTATTTGTTATCTGGCACCAAGTCTGTCTTATTTTTTTTTGCAACGAGCACCGAGGTTGCATCATCAGTTTCTTGAAAATCGAAACGGCGCAAACATTCAAAAAATTACGAGAATCCTCAAACCATCTTGATCAATAAAAGTTTCAATCCTTTAATTTTCTGGTCAATCACAAACTAAATGAAGCGATTAGATGCTTAATGAACCAACTGGATTTGACTTGGTTTCTTTACAAATTATTGATTTAATTTAATTGAAATATCAAATAAATTTGTTAGTTTAATTAAATTACACCTGATTTTTTTTGTTAGTTCGATAATTTTATATTACAGTTAAATCACCTCTCTCAAAAGTTAATTTGGATACTGAGAGGGATTGACTATAGAGCATGTTTTTCTTATAGTTACATAATAGATAATAGTTTAGATGAGGTGCATTAGAATTATCTTTATCAGTTTTTTAATATATATTTTTAATTATATAAATTGCTTGAATTAATTATTATAGTTAATTCTATAAATTATTTCTGATCTGTAATATAATATAAATTTTAAAAAATTGTCGATATATAATAAGATATATAGATTAACTGATAATCTATTGAAATTAAAAATCCTGTAAAAAAACTTGACTTGTATATATAGGATTTCATCTTTTTTATTTTAAATCGACCTAGATCGATACCGTTTTTTAAGCGAATGGAAAAAACCAACCATTGCGCATTTTCGCAGGAAAATGGCAACAAAGTCGTCACCGAACGCCATCATTGTTTTCCTCGATCTATCTGTGATTCCATTGATGATTTCGTTGTACGTCCTTTGTTGATATGCGTTTTCCGTGAGGCGTGGGTTCCTCTGTTTAAAAATATAATATCACGTATATGATGATGTGTGCAAACCCAGAACATATTGAATCAATAAAATCAATTCATCCCACCTTTTAGAATTTCTCATACTGTTCGATTGCTGTGATACTATGTGTTAGTTTGGAATAAGAACGCCCATATAACAATTGAGACCATGATAACAATTTCATTATAAATATCTATAATGGACCTGGTCAGGACATGTTTAATTTGGTATCGAGATTCGGAACTGCAAAAAAGGACCGATTACCGGGTCATCTAGTTACATCAAACATTCTCTTGACTTTTAAAGGATAAGACAAATAAACTAATAGAGATTTATTCAAAATAAGTCTATTAATAATAAGTTCTATTTTTAAATACAATAGATGACCCACACCATATTATCGAAAAGTAAATGAACGATAATGAATTTAGATATTGCGCATGTGAATGTATCGGTGGATTATTTTTCCTTGAGAAGTTGCTCTATGACACTTACTAATGTGTGATAATTATCGAACTTGTAAATTGTGTTTTCTATTTTTAATTTAAAAATTCTCTTGGCTTCGCTTGGTTAATATAATAATCACGAGACACAATATCAACTACGTATTATAGTATTCGGCTAAGCCAAGAAAAGATCAAATTCTCTTTACTGTTTTTGGTTGAGAAAAGTCCGAGGAATCAATCATAAATAAATTTCGGAGAATGATCTAAAAAGGGAAAATCGGGTACCCAAAAAATTATTTTATTTCAAACCTTTATGGTAAAAATGACAGACATATCAATATCGATATGTCAATAATACCATTTACGTCGATAATATCATGCTATGCCTCATACTAAAAATTTATTAGTGCATGAAGAAACATGCTTCTTTTTTCATAATTATACTATAATATAGGAATTATACCACGATTAAATGGGCTAACCATAATGTCGTTTCCGATAACGTTAATTCAATTTGTAATTTGTGTTCTAAAATGCGTTAATGAGATCATCAGAAAAAATAGATATAAGCACGCAGACGAAGGTTCACTGTCTTTCGTTTATCTCAGATACTTTTGATTCCTTTCTGAAAAAAATAAAATTCAAAGAATAAAGACGAATTATAAAAATGAAGTCTCAAAGAATCATTATTGGGTTATCTTTAATCCTCTGTTTTGTTTTGATGGCAATTGCTCAAGTAACAATTCCAACTGTTTCTCCAACCGATCGACCAACCCTTCCACAACCAACCATTATTACTTCAACCTCAAGCTCAAGCTCAAACTCAACTTTATCAACAACTGCAACAACTGATACCTCCACCGGCCCGACACCTCCAGCATCTTCAGCATCTTCAGCATCTACATCAACTGATCCCGCCACCGGCTCGACACCTTCAGCATCTACTGAACCTCAAGCTTCATCTGATATGAGTGGCGCATCAGGATCTTCCACTCCATCTTCTGATAGCACATCTCCTAGTCAGACTAATACGCCAAATAGCTCCGGTGCTTATTCATACAAATTTGTTGGTACATCAAATACTCTTAATGTCGGAGCATTTGTGATGCTAGTCGTTAGTCTATTCTTTTAATTAATGAAAGAAATAATTTATTACTCAAAAGAACGAACATTTGATAGTTATTTTGTTCCTTTATTAGTTGTTCAGCATTTTTCTATTTTTCTAATATAATACTATTTCATTATTTAATGTCATTTCGCACACTTTATTAATAGATTTTCATTTTTATATTATAAGAGAATTAATAAATAATATTATCATATAAGTAAAGATGATTGATCATATGGTTATTTATTCTATTGTAGAATTATGGTTGTTTACAACTAGGGCTCGATTTAACGATTATGCGATTTAGTGAAATCGCGAGTTAGCGACTCTTGTTCCCATACCACTATATTGAACTTTAGCGATGTCTATTAGTATTCTCTCGATTTTGCACTTTAGCGATATCCTGAAATTTGATTACTGATTCGAGCTCTGACTGTATATGATTACATGCGGAATCTTACATTGGCATGAAATAAACGTGAATTAATCATTGATCAAAGTAAACTAAATTATCCATAGTCACTCTCGATGCAACGAATGCATTTGTAACGAATTTTCTCTGTAACGAATAATATTTCTAGACCGTGTCAATAAATTTGTTATGTAAAAAGATTTGTTATAATGAATCTCGTGATATAGTGAATTCAGCATTCGAATTGTAGATTCTTTATATTCTAAACATTATCCTTTTACACAGCTAGAAATAGTTATGTACTAAATCGATTTTAAATTTTCAAACGTTAGATATTTTATGGATTAAATAAAAATACATCAATTTTATAATATGTATTGTGTTCCACCAGAATATCGAATTATGATCAGTTTTACCAAATTTGGAATTGACCAATCCAATTGTGATACAAGCTGTCAAAAAATTATCAGCTGGCTGAGCTGTTATCTTTTTGAAAGCTGAGCCGGCTCAGTTGATATAATTATTCAAAAAAGAAAATTATAATATTTGATTAATTCTAATACCTATATAATCTTAATTTTATTATTTTTCAAATATTCAATAACTATATTAATATTGTGTTTTAAAAATAAATTTTATTTATTTATAATTGTATTTCCAGCTTCTGAAAAAAAATCGTTTAGCATGGTATGAACTCCAATATAAATATGTGCTATTTTTAATAATATAAATAAGATATTTGTATATTTTTGTCACCAAATAAATGGATTTTCTTTTTGATATTCATCACTAATATCATGCTTTAATATTTCAGATAATGAATAATTCAAGATTAATAAAATTTTAGATATCATAATATTTTTATTCTTAAAATACAACCAGCTTTAATATATATAATGGTGATAATGATGTTATAATATTGATAACTAAATTAGAAAACTTTGTATTCAGTTTTTCACAAAGAATTTGATATATTATATACAAATATTTTTAAATTCACAAGAAAAAATTCTAAATTATAAATTAAAATTGAGACAAATCAAGCAATTTCTTTGAAATATTATTATTATTCTAAAGTAAATCTTTAATTATTTTTCATATTTGTTTAATAATTTTACTTGTGATAACAAAAGTTTGCTTATATAAATATTCTAAAAGAATATTTATTATCAGATATATCATAAATAAAGTTAAATATTTACAATTAATCAATATAATTATTAATACAAATTGAGCAAAAAGATTAGCTAACTTCTCTAAAACAAGTGTAAGAATACTTTCTTACGTGAAAAATAATAAGATAAATTTATTAATTGTTATAAATAAATTATATCAATTGAGACAGTTTTCAGTTTTAATTTTAATAAAGC